CATTTATTTAGAGGAGCTCATAATGGAAAGGATTCTGGTAACCTGTAGCAACTTTTAGAAAACCAAACAAAACTCAGTTGAGCCTCTTTGAGGTTCTTTTTAGGTAGCAGAGAAACAAATATGTGTAAGTCTTCTACATTTAATACCAGTCCTTAACTATGTATCACCTCAGAAACGTCATATTGTATGTGCAGCAACACTACTTTAGAATCATAAGAAATCTAATACAAGTTTATATTGAGAAGCATAACAGATTTCTTCAGTTGTTTTTTCATATAAAGGCATTATTCAATTGTACAGCAACTACTGGATTCTCTTTTCTGGGCCTATACGTTTATTCCTGGGCACTTAAATTCATGAGCTGTTTTATTTATTTATTTACTTACTTACTTATTTATTTATTTTTGGCCCCGGGGATCGAACTCAGGTCCTTGTGCTTACGAGGCAGGTGGTGGAACCACTAAGCTAAATCCCCAACCCTCATGAGCTATTTTAAATGAAGTTCATTCATGAATATATACAGAAAGCATTTAAAGGAAAGAGTATATTCACAGCTATCTAAATGAAATTTGTTTTGTGGTTTAGACTCCAAGCAAATTTGTGGAATAGTACATAGGCACACCTTAGCCTTTAAATTCATCTCTACATTGTTCTCAGCTATGTGCCTTCCAAAACCCTCAAAAGCAGTCTAACTAATGTAAAAAGAAAGATGAAGAAAGTAAAGTCAGTTTTATGGAACTGAATGAAATTTTCTTCCCCCTAAAGAATTGAAAAAATATTATTAGTTTACCTTTTATTATGGAATTCTTAGCAAAAATGTCAGAAAACAACTTGGAAAAAACTCTCTTTGCATTCTTGGTTATATATAGATGGTAACTGATGGGTATATGATAAAAAGGTGTTCAAAAATGAATGACTAAGGGCATTAATCTGTGTGGGGTGTTTTTCTGTTTGTTTGTTTGTTTTTTGTAAGCTCTTGAATTTTAGGAGACTGACTTGAAAAAGTACATTGAAAATCAACTATATCCAGAAAGTCACAGCTCTTGGGCCATGATCTTTACAGATCTTGTGCTATGTATCTCTTCATCAAGTTGTTTAATAATAGATAAGATGGCAGTCTACATGTAAAGAGCTTTCCTGAATTCTGTGAGTTGTTTTAGCACCTTACCAAATCTAAAAGAGGTGTGAGAAGCCTTGAATTTGTGGTCAGAGTGGCAGAAAGCGTAGTGACTTGGGAACACCTCAAATTTGTGGCTGTTGTCTGAAATGGAGCATCCTTTAAGACTGAGTCATTAGTTTGTGGCATCTTCATTAATTTTGGATAATGTCAGAATTGCATTCTGTTATAGGATACTCCAAAATTGGTGTGAAAACATACAAAGACAACCAGGAGGAATTCCTGAGTATCTGGGGAGAAGCTTCTCTGATATGGATCAATGAAAACATAAACAATGCAACACTAGGATCACAGATTTTATAGAAAGCTATCTAGAGTAGAATCAACATTGAAATTTGCCATTACTAGCTGTGTAACCTTGGAACAGTCACTTGATCTTGAGGATTCTTAGTTTCCAAGACTTTAAAAGGAGGTTAATCACATTTATCTGTGATGATTAATCTTATGTGTCCACTTGATTGAGCCACAGGACCCAAATAGTTGGTTAACAGTTTGCATGTTTCTGTGAGAGGGTTTCAGAATCAGATTACATTTATTTATTTATTTATTTATTTTTATTTTTTATTTTTTTAGAATCAGATTACATTTAAATTGGTGGACTTTGAGCCAAGCAGGTTGCCTTTCACCATGTGAGTAGGCCTTGTCCAATCAGTTGAAGGCCTGAAAAGAACAAAAGGCTGATCTCCCCAGAGCAACAGGAAACAGATTTCTGTAATATTAGCTCTTTGCCTGGGTCTTCAGCTTGCTGACTCCTCCCCTCACCAATTGTGGTAAAAGTTAAATCAGCAAATATGAAAGTGAAACTATTTGTAAATTTAAAGCCTTATAAAACATACATGTTTGTTTGCCTAATGCATGAAATGTGTAATGAGCTTCGCTGAGACTTTGTAGGAATATAAATTAACATTTATGAATGTGATCACAGGATCACCATTATAGGTAAATAGATTGAAAATATCATTTAAAAAGCTACCAATAGCAACACGTAGTGAAGGAAATATATTTTATGAAGACAGGAAATCATGACTTAGTTGACTTAGTTTAATTTACACAACCAGCATTTGACACAATACCTTGTACATAGTTTTGCCCACATAACTGTTGAAGAACACGTGACTTTGATCTATGTGATCCACAAAAAGAGTATATTTTGTGAGAGACTAGGTGGAGTCAAATACTTTAGTCAACATCAAGCACTTTAGAAGGAGGCATAAGGAATGAGAATATGTGTATGTGTTGAAGCTGTTCATAGTCTTAGAAGAGTTAAATATCAATCATAGTCATGTGTAGCTAAATAAGAGAACTGCAAGATTAGTCTGTCTGGGCCAAGGCCAAAGCCATGAACTCAGTGTGCCTCTATGTACAAATCCACAGCCAGACCTCATTCTCTAAAATGAATGTCTCTGCCTCCTTGGACCTTTGCTGAACTTTGTGTAATACTAAGGTGCAAATACAGCATAGAGGAAAAAATCTGACCATGGCACTGAATGTGTACTTTTAAATTCCAGAAGTGGAGTAAATCTAGACTTTTAAATTCCAGTAATTTGAATGCTATTTAACAACATAGCAAGCACCACTAGTGTCATCTGTCAACTCCAATCTCTTGAGGACATTTCTTATGGCAGATGTGGCCAGTCTGCATTAGCGTGCTTCACAACTGCGGGGATTGTGGTTTTTGTGGGCAGATATTTTGAGACTCAGCGGTGGCAGAATATGGTTGCTTTCAAAATATTCAAGGCAAAAAGCTTCAGTGTGGGAAAGAAGACCAGACTTCTAGTCTTGTTGGTATTTTGGGAAATATGTCATCATTAATGATATTTCCAGGCTTCTCTGAATATGGCCAGTAAAGAAGAGACCATCGAGACAGCCTGACTTAAATTGAAACAACAGTGGGATATTATTTTCCACTTATAACATTGGGGAAAAATTGAAAACAGTACTGTTCAGAAATATCCTTCACTGATAATTGGAGAATCATTTCAAAAGAAAAAAAAAAGCTTAAAAAGTAAAAAGTGTATAATTCTTGACATACAATTGTACATATTTCTCTGCACAGAACTACCCATTAGTTTAGGTTTAGCATCTTAATAATAATAGCAAAAGATAGAAATAAATAAAATCTCTACTAGTAGGGAGTTTTGCTGAGTCCATATGAAAAAATCAATAAAAATAAGGTTGTATTCTTGCACATAATGACATGGAAATTTGGTCATCATATGTTGTTAACTGAAAAAAGCAGTTTACAAAACACTATATAGAGAATGTCTATTTTTATTTAAAATCAAGCAAAAAATCTTGTACATGTCCGTGAAGAAAAGGTTATTTGGGCTGGGGATTTAGCTCAGTAGTTCCTCTGCCTGCCTCGCAAGCGCAAGGACCCGTTTGATTCCCGTACCAAAAAAAAAAAAAAAAGAAGAAGAAGAAGAAGAAGAAAAGGGCTATTAGAAGACTATTTATTAAAATATTAGTAGCAACTGTCTCTGAGTCATGGGGTTATAGATGATTATTTTACCATTTACTTTATGCCCCACCCTCCAAATATTATGTGCTTTAAATATTACAACAAATGGAGCAGTTACAACAAATGGACAGCAAGCAAAAAACAAACAAACAAACAAACAGAAGCACCACACACACACACACAAACCAAAAAAAAAAAAAAAAAACCCCTGATGAACTAGGATTGTGTACTAGTAAAGGAGCAAAAGCATTTTGAAGTGTTGTGCCTAAACCTTGCTGCATCCTAGGACTTTATATTCTAAGACTGTGGGTTCAAAATGATTTATTTGAGCTCTGATAGTGCAGTGTGTTCTAAAAGGTTTACATTTAATAAAAGGTATTTTCTACCTACACTGTGCTAAGCCTTGAAGTCACTTTGCACAGCTCCAGGACTCTTTCAGGGAGATGGCTTGACACACTCACACAAATGGAAAGTTTTGGTCCATTAGCTACCACTGTCTATATCACTGAAATCTAAAACTGTCTACAGAAAAACAAGTAAGTGATTCATAGCCTAGATCCATACATAAACAGATCTATCACAAAGGACTGAAGCCGGTGACATTAGAAATGCCCAGTAAACCCTTAACCTCTGGGAGGTGATGACATCATCTACGGTGGTACCCAGTATTTTTCACAAGTGTCCTTTGCCATTCCTGACTTAGTGGGTTGGAGAAATCATCTTGTCTCTTCATGTTATCCATCTACCACTAAGTGACGCAACTGGCTAGGTAGCAGATTTTAAAAATTGAAAAGACTGTTTATGAAAATGGCTGTGAGATGGGGTAGTTTAGCTCTGAATGAGTGCCCATTATGTGAAATGTGTTACCTCTGGACCATAAAAAGGAAAGAGTCAACATTTATACTTCCCAAAAATTAATGAACCAGAAATCCAAAATTAGACTTAAACTAGGTCCACAAGGCTACTCTAGTGTTAAGACAAAGACACAGCTTCAAGCTAAGTTAAAGCTACTCTCAGCTAAATCCTCCCTGTAGCCAATGCAGCTTTTCTCAGGCACACGTTTTGAATGACACAAAAATCTAGCAGACTAAAAAACTAACAGTGGCTAGAAGTTTAAACTTAAAAGTTTCCAAGGAAATGCTTTCTTGATAGTCATTCAATTCTTGATAATCTTTTAAAAATCAATTGTGAGTCCAAGTTAATCCATCCTTATGCCTCCCTACTATATCCATTGTTATAAAAATGGAAGATTTCAAAGTGTTTTATAATCAGAGCTTCCTTTAGATACTTTACCAGCCCACCATTCTTCTGGATATGTAAATGGACAGAAGGTCACAGAACACAAGACCCAGACTGACTCACCTTGCTGTTGCTGGTTCTCTTGCAGCTTCAGGTGACACATGTGCAGACTGGTGAACAGGTGGCTGCTGCCTTTCCTTTGAGTAGCAGACATGGTACTAGCAGCCTGGCAGTGGCTTGAGGATTACAAGCATTTCCTTCCCTCAGCCAGTCACCTAAAATGGTTCTCAGAAGATATGCAGAACCACATACTCACACACAGTTTCTGCTATGCATGTAAAACATTTACTACTCTAGTAAACTTCCAACTTTTTCCTAGACATAATTCCTGAAATAAATATTTACCAATGTTACCTCCCCTACAGAAAAAGATGCCAATTCATGAGGCAAAAACCATATTTAGTTCTTTCATTTCAAAGCAAACTGAAACTGTCTCCTCTTATCATGTAAGATCCCCAAAAGCAACTATTTCTAACAAATTACGGTTATGTCAATGCACTGCCTTCCACTGATACGAAATCCAATTCCTCTAGTATTTAGAGAGGACTGTTACAGTGATACATACACAAAGGAAAATAAATGCTGTGGGGATAAATCAAATGATTTCTGCTCTTCGCCTGGTTTGAGTTACTCTCTGTGACAGCTGGACACATATAGTCTTTAAGGGAGGCAGGAAGGAGGAGGAGCAGAGTGAACTAGGGTGATTAGCATAAAGAGGCAGGCAAGAAATGGCACTAGAGTTGCTTTGAATAACAGTGACTGAATCAGGGATTCTACAGATTTCCTGCTGTTACAGTAATTAAATATCTGACTTCAGCTCCTTTACTTGTAATTAAAATACAACTTGAAAGCTTTATCCTAATGTGTACACTCATTTGTACATGTATAATCTAAAAGGTATGACTGGAACTGCTAATGAGCTCATGGAAATGTACTGCTGAACTTTAGATTTCTGTAAACACCTCTGAGACTTCAGAAGGGAGCAGTTACAAGGTAGTCTCTGCCAAGGCAACTATTTAGAGTTCTGGAAGAAAAATAAACACACAAAGCACTACCTTGCAAGAAATTTATCTCGGTTTTCCCATTAGATTCTTTATTTCTATCTCTAGGTGATAAGACAAAGCTGTTTCTAGTATTTTCTTCTGCTTGTTATTTCACTACTGTCAAAAAATATAAACCCAGATTACCTTTAATTGAAATAATGAAGGCTAGTAAATTCTGACTTTCAAGATTCAGAGTTCTTTATAGAGTTAGAAAGGGGATATCAAGACTGAGAAGAAAGGTAGAGCTGTTCAGCCTCAAAATCTGGATCCTCCAATCTTCCTGTGTATATTTGGAAATTGGTGCTAAACTTGACACTCCTATGAGGTTACCTCCTGGCCAGATCTGGAAGGGTTCCCACATTTTACTTTAGGAAAATTAACAATTTCCAAGCACACTTTCCTTTCTGAAACTCTAAAATGTGTGATTGTGATAGGTGTGGTGGATAGAACATGTCTGAAATCCCAGTACTCTAGCAGACTGAGGCAGAAGATTGCAAGTCCCAGACTAGCTTAAGAAATTTAGCAAGACCCTGTCTCAAAATTTTAAGAAAGAAAGAAAGAATAAGAAAGGAAGGAAGGAAGGTGGGAGATATGGCTCAGTGAGAAGGCCTAGGATTTCATACCAGCCCTATCAATCAATCAATCAATCAATCAATATGATTGCTCTTTTATAATTCTTATAAGATATTAAATACTTTTATTGTTTTAATAGTCTACCTACTGCAGTTTTAGGGCCATCACAGTATGACATTTTGAAAGACTTCTGTTAATAGAGAATCATAGTTTCTGTTTTAAATGTCTGATATTCATCTCATTCTCTACAAAAGCCATGGTAGAAGGCTTTTGTTGGTGCTTTCATGTTTCTTACTCATGGTGGAAAGCAGAAGTGTTTTCTTCTAAATGCTGCAAAATTAGTCTCCAAAATTGATGAACTGAGACTTTTCATGACAAAGAAATCCAAAAGAAATAACGTAACTACTAAATAAACATTGCAGAAAAATTATTCTCAAGGAAATTGTGGTCAGAGACAGAAAGGCCACCAGCACCAAAGAGCCCAGAAAATATACATCTAACTAGGAGAGTAGTTCAACAAAAGAAAAAACAAATAAATGAACAAACAAAAACCAAGGACTTGGCACTGGAAAAATAATGCAATGACAGGAGTCACTAAACAGTAAGAACTCTGAATATCAGTAGTCAAAAGTCCTCAATGAAAAGACACAGACTGAAATAGTGGATCAAAAAACAAAATGCAACAAAATATTGCCTACAGGAGATATGCCTCATTCAAAAGGAAGCTCCTAGACTAAATGTGAAAGGATAGAAAACAATGCTCTATGCCACCAGAGACTGAAAGGAAGAAGGAGTAGCTGTTTCATCTTCAAACAGAGCAGACCTCAGGCCAAAACTACTTAGAAGAGACAGTGATGGCCACTACATACTGGTAAAGAGAACAATTCAACAAGAAGAAAAATAAAACTACTGGACACAAAAGGACAGATGGACACCAATATGATCACAGCAGGGATCTTTAACACCTTATCTTTATTACCTATCTTAACATCTCAAGATTTGAGAAAAACAAGAGGAATCCAAATCTGAAATTAATACAAGGAAAGAAAATATAAATTTCGGAGCAGAAATTAATGAAATTGAAACTAAAAAATATGAAAGATCAATGAACCAAACATTTGGCTCTTTCAAAGGATAAGCAAGATTGATATACCCTTAGCCAAACTAACTTTTAAATAAAGGAAAGAGAAAACATATCAATGCAATTAGAAATGAAAAATCCAAAACTACAACAAATGCTACCAAAATCCAGAGGATTCTCAAAAATTATTTGAAAACAGATATTTCAATTGGAGAACTTAGAAAAAATAGAGAAAATGCTAGACACATATGAATTAACAAAATTGAACCAAAAAAGTTTAAAATCTCTGAATAGTCCAATAACAGGAATCAAAATAGAGGCAATAATAAAAATTCTACCAACAAAGAACAGTTCAGGACCTGATGAATTTACTGTAGAATTCTACCAGAACTTCAAGGAAGATCTAATGCCAATATTCACTAAATTCTCCAATAAAATTGAAAGGGAATGAGTACTACCAAACTTAATTCTTGAATCTAGCATTACCCTGATACCAAAGCTGGACAAGGACTCAAGAAAAAAAGAAAACTACAGGTCAATCTTCTTAATAAAAATGTATGCAAAAGTCTTCAACAAGATACTGGCAAACATAATGCAACAAATCATTAACAAGGTCATACACCATGACCAAGTTGGCTTCACCCCAGGGAAGCAAAGATGGCTTAACATTTGTAAAGCAATAAATGCAATACATCACATAAATAGAAGCAAGGACAAAAATCACATGATCATCTTAATATATGCAGAAAAAGCCTTTTATAAAATTTAACATCCATTCATGATAAAAAAGAAAATCCTGATACAATAGGTATTGAAGGGGCTATCTCAAATGGATAAAGATAATTTATGATAAACCCACTGCTAACATCACACTAAATGGGAAAAACTGAATAATTTTCCTCTAAAATTAGGAACAAGACAAGGGTGTCCACTCCAATTCATTATAGTACTTGAAACATTATTCAGAGTAATCAAATAAGAAAAAAAACAATAAAAAGTGTATAGGAAAAAAAGAAGTCAAATTGTCCTTATTCATAGATGGCATGATCTTTTACATAGAAGTCACAAAAAACTCTACCAAAAGACTCCTGGCAGTAATTAACAAAGTAAAGGGATACAAAATAGATATACATCATTCCTGTACACCAACAGTGAACTCACTGAGAAAGATAGGAAGAAAGCAATACTATTCCCAATAGATACAAATGATTACATACTTAGAAATTAACTTTTTTTTCCCTCATGAGTTTATTGGTACATTTTAGGTATGCAGTACAGTTACATTCATTATTGAGATCTTGTACTTTTACATGACAGGTCTTGGTTCTCATTTTTTCCCCTTGTCCCTGCCCTCCCTTCATTCCCTCTTCCCCTCCCCTGTAGAAATTAACTTACTCAAGGAACTTAAAGACATGAATATACTCTAAAAAAATAAATTGAAGAGTATATCAGAAAATGGAAACATATTTCCTGTTCTTGGATAGGCAGGACAAATACTGTAAAAATGAACATATTATCAAAACTGATATATAGATTTAATGCAATCTCAATCAAAATGCCAAAACACTCTTCACAAAACTAGAAAAAAAAAATCCTAAAATATCTGTTGAACCAGAAGAGACCAAAAATAGCAAAAGCAATCCTGAACAAGAGTAAAGAAGAAAGCAGCACAACTCCAGATGTCAAGTTATATTACAGAGCTTTAGTGACAAAAACCATACTCTACTGGCACAAAAACAGATATGTGGCACAATGGAACAGAACAGAGGATGCAGAAATAATCTCAGGCACTTTTAGCCTGATCTTTGAAAAAGGGGCCAGAAACATACACTGGAGAAGATAACCTCTTAACAAATGTCACTGGTAAAACTGGTTATCCACATGCAGAAAATTGAATCTAGACTCATACCTCTCACCCTGTACTAAAATAAACTCAAAATGAATCATAGATCTAGATATTAAAGCAGAAATACTGAATCTGCTACAAGATAAACTAGGTAAAACTCTTGAGGACATGGGCATAGGCAAGGACTCTCTCCACAGAACCCCACTTGCTTAAGTAATGTCACCAACGATCAACACATTAGATGATATAAAATTGGATTATATAAAAAAATTCCTGCAAAGGAAACAGCCAACACAGTGAAGACACAGCATATACAGTGGGAAACAATTTTTTCCAGTTACTCCTTAGGCAGAGGCCTAATAGCTAGAATACATAAATAACTAAAAAATTAGCCCCCCATCAAAGAAAAGATACAATAAAAAACAGGCAACTGAAACAAATAAATCTCTCATAAGAAGTATAAATGTCCACAAAGAACATGAAAAAAATATTCAATATCTTCCATCACTAGAAATATACAATTTAAAACAACACTGAGATTTTATTCCTCCAGAAAGAATGACCATCATCACAAATAAAAATAACAACAAATGCTAGTGAGATTGTAGGAAAAAAAAGGAAGTATTCTACATTTTTTGTGAGATTGTAAACTAGTGCAACCACTACAAATCAATTTGGAGGTTTCTCAAAAAACTAAAAATAGAAATTTTATTCAGCTCAACTATACCTCTTCTGAGTACCTTTCTAAAAGAGTTAAAGACATTATATTACAGTGATACATAGATATGCATGTTTATAGTGGTGCAACTTAAAATAGCTAAACCTTACCTATCAATAGATGTAAAGGTAAAGAAAATATGGTTTTTCTACACAATGGAGTACTATTCAGCCATAAAGAAGGATAAAATTGAGTCATTTGTAGGAAGGTAGATGTACCTTTAGACCATCATGTTAAGTGAAGTGAGTCAGAGAAGGTTAAATATGGTATAGTTTCTGTGATATGAGAAACCCAAAGTATAATTAATTTAAAGAGCAAAATAAAAGATAGATGATGGAAAACAGGGAAGTGGACTTTAATGGGTGGAAAGAGAAGATGGGGAGGAGCAGGGTGTCAGTAACCAAAACTATGGCACATTATGTATATCTATACCAACTCCCTCTGAGGAATGTCACAAACATGTACTAATGAGAA